TTCCTAAGCGACAGGAACCATGCAAAAACCAATTTTTAAATATATTTCTAATAGACGGGAACCACATTAGAATAAATTTCCAAAAAGTCTGTTTTTTATTTGAGAAGGAGAAATTTAGTGGAATACTAACACATACATTTTTTGAAGTGTATATCTTTAGAAATAGGGACATAAACCACACTAAAATATTTTTAAATGTTATGTGATAGATGATTGTTTGTTGTTACAATTTATTGACAAACAGACCAAAAATTGAAGGAGACCATGTACAGATTTTAAGAAAAGTTTGTTCCATAGTCAACAAATCTGAAAACAGTTTCTGTTCACAAAGTTCTTCTTTTAGCTAAACAAACTTTGTTCAATAAAATTTGAAAGAAGATATGCCAAACACATCAATTTTGGTAACATTTTAACCTTGTGTTGATTTTCTTTATAATATCATTTAATCTACCAGAATGTTCCTTAACCCTGTTTGAAATGAAAAGAGCATCTTTTGGAAGTTATGACTTGGAAATTGATCTTTGAGTACCATCCATATAGCCTTTTCAAAGTCAAGCACACATTTTCTGGGTGTTTCAAATTAAAGGTGATTTTATCTGAAACTTGAAGCACACAACAATTTTTCTTTTTCCTACTCATGAGAGCAAACCTTCACTTTCAAAAAAATCATTTTTATGATGGAACGGGTACCACACTAGAATAATTTTTAAAAGCTTGGAATTTTTATATCCTTGTCTATAACACATCTTTACAATTTTTAGAATCTGTCACACATCACACCAGGAACCATATTACAATGCTTTTTAAAAGGTTTTCTTAAAAAGTAAAAACACCAGGAGTTTTTATACTGTGGAAGAGAACCACTCTACAAAACACAATTGAAAAAGTGCATTAGTACTAGAACTTGATCTAGATAATTTTAAAAATCAGTTTAAATTTGGAAAAGGAACCAGACTATTACAAATTTTTAATTGAATATTAGTGTAGTTTTTTATTCGGACAGGAACCATGCTTCACATGCTTTTTAAATGACTTGCTATGTTTTTTTTGGAATTAGAACCATACTGTAATACATTTTAAAAATTTGTTTTGATTGGAAAGGTAACCACACTAGAAAAATTTTAAGTATGGTTTTTTATTTGAAAAGAACAGTGTACTAAATTAGATTTAAAAATATGTTTTGTTTTGTGGAAAGGAAAGGCTAACCATACTATTTTTGAATCACTACACAGTTAATTAGTTTATTTTTATTTAATTGGATATGGTTCAAATTTATGGAAAAGATGACAGGAACCACACTAAAACACTTTTTGTTAATGTTGTGTTGTCCAAAAATATTGACAAGAATATTAAGGGATATTAAAAATAAGTGAATATTTTGAATATTCATGTTATGAATATTCAGTTTCAACTCATTAAAATTCTATGAATATTAATGAGGTGGATGATTTAAATATTAATTAGCTGATAAGAGGAAGTGACGTTGTACAATGACGTCATACTAATTATCTTGGTATAAAAAGCGTCGTCTGTCTGATGTTTCACGGTACAAAAATGTTAGTAGAATAAAGTGACAAAAACCATTCGTACAATGAGATGAACAGTTTGCTTTGGCAATAACTTAATGAATTTGCCCAATGTCAAACTAGCACTTTTAATTATGTATATCTACCATAGATCACGTGACAAATAAATATTCATGATTGGAATCATGTGACAAAAATGAATATTTATAAGCAGTGATTATTCCACCATTTTATTTACGTCACATCCGGTATAAAAGATTTTCTAGATGGCGCTAAAATAGCTTTTAAAGTATCACGTGATCAAAATATCCTGTTATAAATACGGGTGAATTGTCATTCATAATCTTATAACCATCAAAGATGGTCGTCATCAATCAGACAGATTGATTATGGGGCGCAATAATAATATTGCGTAATTATTAACCCAGTTTGGACATTAATCTCATTACATTACTCATGTTTCCCGCCAAAATAATAATAAAATCTGTAATATATTTGAATGAAATGGCCATGTTTTCTATCTCCAGTTGGAAATTGTGACATAATAATCCGTGTTGATTATTACACTCGATATACAAACAGCGTCTTTTCATTGAAATAATTAATTATCTGATGCCATTTTGATATTATCTACTCTTTAAAGTAGTAATTATAGTAGTAATAGTTGTTGTTGTTATATAATTTATCAATGATTCATTAGCTAAATCATGAAGATTGTACAGAGATTCCTTATCTTCTTCCCTCATCCTCTATATCTTCTTTAACTGTCTTTTTCCCTAGGTCAAAGGTTAAGTTTGAACAAAGAGGTAGAAAGCTAATTGTGCTTTTTGACAAAAATGAGGAAGCACTAACTACAACTAGTAGTAGTAGTTACTACTTAACCATACTATTTTTTAAAAACTGACGGGAACCATACTACTGTTTTTAAAACTGTTTATACTCTTACCAAATTACCCGAACCTGACAATGACGTGCGGAAAAGAAACCAGTCTAAATCAAGTCAAATGTACTTAACTAGTATGGTTCCTGTTTTTAATAATAGTAGTATGGTTCCCGTCAGTTTTTAAAAAATGTTTATAAAAAACTTTGTTAAAGTTATTGTAGATTTAGTCTGGTTCCGTACCCGTTAAAGAATATTTTGCAGTAATTGAGCAGAAAAGTCTAGGATTGAAGAAATTACATGTTGACTTCATGATATCTGTAAAGGTGATATTTACTATGCAAAAACATACATTCATTTAATTTTGCTTAATATTACAGAAATGATAGATAATAAGTGTTCATCATGCAAAAGTTTGAGTGACAGATATTATCAGTTGTAATCAATGATGATTCCATTGTAAAAGCTGCTCTGACTTGAAGTATTTTCATAAAGAGTAAACATAAACAAAAATCATAACAAAAGGAAAAGCCTTATTGTCATGCAGACATCAAGTCATCTGGAAGAGCAATTGCTGAAGATTTTCTAATTGATTAAAATGAAAGTGAAAATAGCTTATCAAAATTGGAAAATCTGAGGAGATTTGCTAAAATTAATCAATGAACCGCCAGTATTTGGCATCTGTTTTTGAATAAGATGTAACAAGTTTGACATGCATTTTTTCTATATTGTTTGTTCCATTGTTAATTCTATAATGCAACATCTGTTTTGGTCAAAGAATTATACTTTGTGCGAACTAAAAGCCTTTCTAGAATTCAAAACATCTAATTCCACTAAATAAGATCTTTCTTAGGTTTGGGTTATTAATTCCATCAAAAAGTGGTTTTTTCTAATATTTCACTATTCTAATTCCTTTAAAATAAGATCCATTTTCTTTAGATGGGTTCGGGTTTCAGTTTTATTATTTCATTCATCTGGAAATTTCTGGAATTAGAACCATGCTATAGTAAGTCGACGGGGGTATATATTGTGGCTCCATCTGTTGTACAGAAAATTTAGAGTGTACATTATTTTTGAAGTTGTTCTTTTCTTTTGAAAAGATAATATTCCAGTTTTAGAATGAACTAACCTCTAAAATTAACCTCGACCTTTAATCTTAAAAAGCTATTAATATAACTAAATAGACTGGTTCCTAATCCATAAAGTATATGAAATTTATATATATTATAATCTTCTTAGAATGGTTGTTGTTCCATTAAAAAGTATTTTAAAAACAGTTTAACCTTTTGACCTTTCCAAATTAAAAATAGAAAATCAATTGGCAGACAGATTTATACAAAGTGGCAAAATATTGAAATGAAGGTTAAAGTAAAGGTTTATTAAAATTAATTACAGCAAGGTGAAGGTTGAACACAACCATCAATAAACTTACATTTACATTATATTAATTTAAAGTGACCTTGTTTGACCTTTTGAAGACAACTTGAACCACTTTTAATATTTTTTACTGGACTGGTTTCTAATTTGGAAAAGATAATTCCTTTTATTAAAAATTTGTATCAATGTGAAGGCCATTAGAAAAAAAAACGAAAATTATTTGAATTTCAAAAAAAGAAATCTGGTTCTTATTCCGCAGTAAGTCTATTCCATTTTTTACCGATGTATGAGTTTCTTTCATCAGACGGCGCTTTGTATATAAGTTGAGCAAATGTTTCAAAAAAATTCAAAACTTTAAACATTAGAAAAGTGAACAAATGATTAAAGGACAGAAACCAGTTTAATTTACATAATGAAGTATGAAATGAATCCTTATCCTTTTTTCTAAAAAAGTGGTTAAAAAAAAACAATTTGAGAAGAACACGAACCATACTATAGTCATTTTTGTCTATTTTTTTCACCCTTTCTACTTGTCAATTAGAAAAGTAAAAATCAGACTGGTTCCTATTCATTAAAATATCTTTTAAAGAAAACCTACACTATGATCCTAAACAAACAAATAATAAAAAATTTATATTTATACTGATATAAATAATTTTTTGTGTGGAATAGGGAACCAGTTTTTTCTTTATCGAGATTAACAAGTTTAAAAAATCTTATATTACATATTATAATTACTTTAAGAATTATCATTTAGTTGACCTTTACCCTTGATTTACTTTCTAGTTGAGTTTTGGATGTCTTCTATTACAACAAAATTTTAGAGTGCTTCATGAATATTCAAAACCAAACTATTTATTAAAGAGAACCCGTCGAATTAGGGTTCTTGAAGGTGAAGGTTGGAAATTGAAAGTAAAGTCACATTGTATAATTAATATTCTACAATTCCTTTTTAGCGGAAAAGGAACCAGACTATATAAAATTTGAATTAGTGTAAAACGAACGTCATTTTAAAAAAATCCATCATTTAATATAGTTAGACTGGTTTCTATTTTATTTTAAAAATTAGACTGGTTTGATCTTTTGGAAGGAATCTTCAAGACAAACTGAACACCTTAGATTCTGTTTGATTAAAATATGGCTGAATATACTTATGACAAACTTGAAATACGAAGCTTGAATAATTATAAATTCAACAACAAAAAGATATTGTATAGCTCCCTCTGGCGGACAATAGGTATTCCTGTATCTGTGACAAATAGTAATTAAATGATATTGTTTAAAATTTATTTTGTGTAGGAAGAATCATTTGTTACTGATGGAACAGATGTAAGAGGGGAACAAAATACCCGTACGCCGTATCTGTTTTTAAGGGCATTTTTACATCCTAATAAAATTTTAGAACAAAAGAGATAGAAGAGTATTTAAGTAAGAACTGAATGATGATTGTTGTTGAATGAATGAATGAATGATGAATCTCTTCCTATTGCTAATTGGCGTTGTTGGACTTGTTGTTGGCTTTTCTACAGGCGTTCCGGTTTTTACGGATCGTAGAATGGTGAAAATTCAAAATTTCAAAAGGGTTCAACGTTCTCCCAATGATCATTATGAAATTCACGTTGACGTTCCCGTCGAAGATGAGATCGTCTCACTCGAATTGAAGAGAAACGCCGATATTAACCCGAATATGAAGATTGAATTCGAAAATCGAGAATTGGCTAAAGGCCATCTGAAAGGTGTTTTTCCCTATCAAGACATCAATTCGGGAGCCGCAGTTATGGTCTCCGAGAAGATAATCGACGGAAGAGTGAAAAGATCTATTGAAGGAAAATTCGAACACCGCGGTATGGAAATTCTTATCTCTCCTACAATTAACAACGAAGATGGAGAGCATTTTATCGATACACCGTCTCCATCGGAAAGAGACGCCAGTAGTCAACCTATATCATTCAAGGTTGAAGAAAGGATTAAAGATAATATGAAGAGATCAGTAGCTAAACCTCATTATCACGTTGAAGCTGTAAATATTATCGACTATACTATTTGGGATTTTTTCCTTCAAATCACATCCGGAAATGACGAAAATGAGGCTGTTTCAAAGATTAGATACCAGTTTTTTCATATCATGAACGGAGTTGATCTTGCGTATAGAAGAATCAACGATCCCAGATATATGATTTCCGTATTTGTTAAGAAAATGATGATTATTAGACAAAAAGAAAATTGTCCATTTACGGATGGACCCAGTCCGTTAAGGGTTAGGTCGAATAGCGGTAGAGAGGCAATCGATGCCAGGGAATCGTTGAAACGCTTGACCACGTGGATGAGAGATCCTACCAATACGGGTGGAGAAGATTGGATGGATTGGGATCATACGTTTCTATGGACCAAGAAAGATTTATACAGCAGTTCCAGTTACACTACAGTCGGAGTGTCTTACGTTGCGAGAGTGTGTACGGAGACGGGAACGTCGGTTAACGAATATATTGGTATGAGCTCTTGGAAAATTGCCGCTCACGAGTTGGCTCATAATCTTGGATCCTATCATGATGGAATGGAAACCAGCGCAGCGTGTTCACCGAACGATAAAAATATTATGTCACCCTCATTTGGTAGTCTCCATGTTGCCAGTATAAGAAATTCTTTCGCGTTTAGTCAATGCTCAATTGATGCCATTTACGAATCCATTAACGGAAATGACAAAGACGGATTCCCCAGAACTTGCATTATGAATAAAGTATGCGGAAACGACGCATTCAATCAGGATGAAATCACTCAGGACAATCAAGCTCCGGGCGCTATTTATTCGTTGGAAGAACAATGCGTATTGATATTCGGCAACGGAGCCGCTCCTGACGACAGATGCACAAACGAAAGAGATAATGTTTGTCAACGTCTTGTTTGTAAGGTAGGAATGTATTGCCGTGCGCAAGATCCGGGAGCGGAGGACGGAAGTCCTTGCGGCGAGGATAAAGTATGTATTAAGGGTAATTGCGTCCATTCGTCCCAGTTAAGTTTCCGTAGAATGAAGAACCATAATTCCGATTGTACGTCGGGAGTGACTTTGCAAAGGACCGTTCCGCCTGGTTGTACTAATACGGCATTGAATATTCGAACCTATATCGATAGATCGTATAGACTGGTTACGTCTTGCGAAGAGTATGTTACCCACTATCCGGAAGAGTGTTTTAGCGGCGTTGAAGACGACTGCTGCAAGAAGTGTAGCGAAATGGGTTTGACTCGGGCCAACACTCAGATAGCCAACTCGAATTCCGCTTGCGATCCGAATCCTTGCAAGAACAGCGGCGTATGCCGCCAATACGGTAGCTCCGCTTACGTATGCGAATGTCCAGCCGGAAGTGGAGGAAAGGATTGCGATAGAGGAGAGAGCGAAGGCGGACCGCCCATCGTTCAAACTGTTCCAACGCCGCCCTGCATAGATGAAAATATCAGAGTTACCGTCTATGGCGATAATAGCAATGTAGTAGGTTGTAGTGACGGAGCATCGCAATACGGTGCTAATTTTTGCAGACAAGTTGGTCAATATTGCTGCCTCTCCTGCAAAGATGTTTAAACTCCAGCAAAATAAAATACGATTTACTCTAAAATACACTTAATCAAGCACATTTAAAAAAAAAGACAAAAGTATTCATTTCCTCCCTGATTAGGCCGTATGCCTAATATTATTAATATACGAAAGGTCAAGGTTACTTTCGTTATATCGAAAAATCCTGAAACGATAATAGAGTTGGAAGATTCCTCTATACTATATATATAAATAATTAATTGTTGAAAAGTTTGCAAAACATGACATACTTTTGACATAGGTTTGTTGAGAACTAATCCCTTCTAACATTAGTAACAATGGGTAAGTATCATTCATCCAATTCTTAACTGAATCCTTGTATATCCTTCTATATCCATCTTGTCGGCAAGAAAGTACACTTACATTTCCGATTTCAGTAAAAACTCATCATTTATGCGTGTTAAAAAACAAATAAATTTAATTAAATAAATAAAAGTTTGTATTTAATTATAAGATAGATAGAATACTATTTTAATTGGAAATTGTATAGGCGACGATCGTGCTTTTGACGCTTTACAGCTTCGCATAAAAATCTTAATATATCATTGTCAATAAACGTGTCGCACACTTGTTTATGATAATTTAGTATATTGCTTCGAAGTTGCTGCTGGTCGTGTCCGTAGAATGGATGCTTTTTATAACATAGTTCGTAGATCATTACGCCCAAGGCCCAGATGTCGGCTTTGTCGCTAAGTTCCTTGTTCAATATAACTTCCGGTGCATGGTAGGTAAAATTGGTTACGCCTTCCAATCTACAAGGGTTGGCCAATCTAAATGCATGCCTAAAGCCGGAAAACTTGATGGTTCCACTTTTAATAAGAATACTAAAAAGTAAAACACAAATATTTACAAAAAAAGAACAATAAAATAAATAATAAACCTACCAATCAGGTTTTAAATTACCGTGACCAAAGCCATTCTCGTGTAGGAATAATAAACCGTTCTTCATTTGATAAACATATTGCTTTATCATTGCGATAGTTAACATGGCATTTTCGTGTATCTCTTGACGAAGCGTCGTATTACCTCTCTCGAATACAAAAACAAACTTCTTTTTAAACACAAAAGCTAGACAAACAAACGAAATTCTTATCTAATTATCTAATAAAAAACAAAATTCTTATCTATTTACAGTCAATCAATAGAATTATATTTTCGTGCTTCAGCCGCAATATATCAGATTCAACTTTATTGAACACTTGAAAATGGGTAAGTTGTACCTCTTCATTTTTACGGTTTTTACCCAAATAGATAGCCAACGATCTATCTTTACTAATAGACGACAAAGCTTCAATTTTATAATTCTTAATCTTCTTGATAGTAAGATAAACTTTTCCCAAAATTATCTTATTATCCTCATTATCTTCTAGGTGTATAACCAAGTGCTTTTTAAGATTTTGTCTATCAAAGAACCTGGCTCTACAACTTTCGCATTTAAACGGTCTTTTCTAAACGAAATTAATTAAATATAAAAATACCGATAATATTAAACCTAAAATATTAAAAATAACTTACAGTATTACTTTTTTGAACTTTTTTAACTGATATTAATTCCATGTTACTAGTTTCTTTCTATAGAACAAAGAAACGTTCCATTAAAAGAACGTTTTTCAAAAAAAGTCTTTAACTAATTTTTTTTAGTTGAAATAGACAAACCTCTTTATTTAATGCACAATTTACAAGCTGATGTCCTCTAAAGAACCGCTTCTCACAATAAACCAATTGACAATCTATACATTCGTACTATTTGGTAGACGCGAAAAAAAAGAAACCCACGTGGAATAGAGAAAATTACTAAATATTTTAAAAATTATTCGACAAAAACTTACAAAACCGTTGTCCAACATCTTTACTTTACCAAGATACAACTGTACGAAAATAAATAATTCATATATTACCTTTATTACGACTAATATTTCAAAAAATTACTTTATTAGCTGCCATTTTCAACTTGTCTGCTCGGTAGCGTAATGGAAAAGGAAGTCTAATCGTTCAACATGGTTCGTAGTTCCATTCCGCGAAATCACACAAAAAAAACATGAAAAAAAACGTTTTTTACAAGAGTGTTTAACAAAATGGAATAAAATAATATAGTTTTTTTTTCATGAAAATAATAATTTATAATTTTTTAATGAATGTTATTTACAAAAAGGGCAAAAAATAGATAAAACTATTAAAAAACTATTTTATCTTAACCCTTAAAAAAAAATAGTTCCGTGCTATACCTCTAAAATACGCGCTTTTCTTTTTTTTTGGGAAATTCTTAAACGTCACTTCCGGTAACCCTATTCTATTACGTCATTTATATATTAATGATAAACGGGAAAAACGAGAGATTGGACAATAATATCTTTTATATTAACTTTTATATATGTAAAAAAAAAAAGTATTTTTTAATATTCAATTAAATTGTTGTTTTTTTCAGATAGCGTAAGCTTACAAAATAAGATAGGAAATTCCAAAATTTTTTCAAAGGAAATCCATGACGTCAGTCGGAAGTGATCGTAAAAAAAATTACAACAAAATGGCCGAAATCACGAATGATGACGGCGGCCATCTTTAATTTATTGAGTTAATTTTTTCAGTCAAAAAAGATAATAGACCAAGGAAGGACCAATTGTTGAATCAATCGAGATGGAGGATTTTCTTTTGATTTTCTCTCATTGTTGAAAATGATCACGTCTAGTAAAAAAAATATTAAAGTTAACGATGAGTATGAATTCATTATTCTAAGTTTCCTTATCATACTCATACTTGAATATTGTGCATAGTGACCGTTTTAATTTTGTACGAGACTATTTATACACCACTTACCCAGTCTAAAAAGTATAACGATTGGGAGAAAAGAAGTCACGTGATTAATCGCGTTGTTCCCAATTTATGAAAAAGAATGAAAGACACGTCACATGACATGTTGAATTTAATTATTTGATCTATAAAATTGTATAAATATAATGATGTACTACTTACGTCATATTTATGAGGTGAATATAATAAATATTCATGAAGAAACTTTGTTTATATCTTAATTATTCATATATGAATATTCATGAAGTAATTGATTTATGTAACTATCTAACTGTCTTTTAAACTAACCTATTTTTATCTTTAAAAATAATAAGTTAACGTAATTTGGAATTATATTTTCTAGACTGGTTTTCAGAAAAAAGATTCTTATATACAAAAAAAGAAAAATCATAGTTTAATATTAGTATGGTTCCCCTTCCTTTTTAATTTGAAATAGTTGTACACTTGAAATTTTTTAAACAAAGCGGAACTAGGTACCATATTTTAATATACATGATTCAAAATCATTGAAAACCAATAATTTATTCAATATTTTCCAGAAAAGATCTATTTTTAAAATATTTGATTTAAGTTTAGTATGGTTTCCCCTTCCGTCGCTAAATCATATTCTATAACGGATTTCAATTAGCCAAGTTTTAAAAGAGAACCACATTTAATATGGTTTCCGTCTATCCGACAAAAATTCATATTTTAAAATGTTTCCCGGAAATAGTTTCACCTCCCAAAAAATTGCTATCAAAAGGTATTTTAGTCTGGTTCCTCTCTTCCCTTTAAAAGTGCACAAAATGTGTACAAGTAATTTTTCTAGTGTGGTTCCCCTACCAAATAAAAGAACTCTTTACTTTTAACATTTCAATCTGTATTTTTAAAAAATATTTTAGCATGGTTTCTTTATATTTTCTGTACTTTATAAACTGTAGTGTGGTTCCCCTCTGATACAAAATATACTATTATTAGTGTCTAATGTGGTTCAAATTTTAATTTGTAAATATAATAAAATGCTTTAAAGCCTAAAATGTTTCTTAATATGGTTTTCTCCAAGTAAATTCAATTACAATACCCGCAAAAGAGTCTGTTATACCATTAAAACCAGTTTATAAAACCATAAATCTGGGAGGAAAACTCTAAAACAAAATGGAACAAGGTACCATACTTTCTAAATTCTCACATATAGTGTGGTTTTCCTTCCTGAAACAAAACACATTTTTAATAGAATGTATTATACTTTTCATTTAAAACAAGATATTTCAAAAAATATTCTGTTAGTCTTGTAACAAGATAGTTATTAACCTTTTTGTGAATACACACCGGAAGTTAAAAACTGGGTCAACTCATTCCTCTCTTTACCAGTTTGTTTTTAAAAAACATTCAACAAATGCTGAAAACTTTTTTATAATAATTTCCATCCATTAATTTTTGGAGTGTGGTTCTTGTTCCTTCCCTATAAAATATACATTAAAATACTCTGTCCTAGAATTTTTGCATCAAGATAAAAGTGTGGTTTATGATTCCTCTTTCCAAAAATTTAACGACAAAACAGCTGTGGACATTTTCCTGAAATATGTTTCCTGTCCCATTTAATCAATAGATAACAGATATGCTTAATCTTTTAAAAGACAAAACATATTGAAAATATAGTGTGGTTCCTCTCCGTTGCACATAAACAGATTTTTAGTCAAATCTAATCCTCTCCGAATTTTTAACCCAGTAAAATATTTACAAGCTAATATAATGTGGTTCCTGTCTGCCCTTAAAATACACTTTAGAAATTAGGCTACTATTTTCGAAACAAAATGGATTCCAGAGTGGTTCTTGTCCAAATAAAAAGTAAATACATTTGGAGTTGTATGCATAATTTTTGTAAAAATTTTATTTCGATTATTATAGTGTGGTTCCCATCCACCACAAAAAATCTGTTTCAAAATGTTTGGTAGTTTTTTTTTTCATGAGACAGAAAACCTTTAAAGGTATTTTAGTGTGTTTTAAACCACAATACATTTTTTACTAATAACAAAAATGTAACCTGGGTTCCATCGCTCCCCCTCCTTTAGTAATTAATAATAAAAAGTTAAAAATTTGATATAGTGTGGTTCCTTTCCCTTAAAAAACGACAAATTTTGTAAAACGCCATCTACCGCCTTCCTTCAATACCAGTAGTATGGTTAACACATTTTTAAATGTAATTCTACGCAAATACCTTTTTGAAATATCTTTTCTATCCCAACAGCATTACATTAAAAGTAATATTTTAGTCTGGTTCTCAAGTTGTAATAAAATTTAAAAATGTATTCTAAGCTCATTAAAAATATGTTCAAGAGTGGTTCCTCTCAATGTCAAATTGTACCGCACCAAGATGTGGTTCCTGTCCCCTATAAAAAATGCATTATTCACATAATTTTCCAAGTGTGGTTTCGTATTTTAAAAAAATAAATATAGATAAATATTACATTAATTAGACAGTACCACACTACTATTTGAATTTTATTGTTCACAAGAAAAAATGCTTTCTAAAAATTAATCATATGTGCATGTTTAATTGCAATAGGAACCACATTAGTACAGTTTCTAAACAAAACTATTTACTGGTATAATTTGAAATTGTATTTCTTTTTGGAGAAAGGAACCATGCTATTTTTGTTTTTTTTGATAAATTACTAAAATTTTTTTGTGAGGGACAGAAACCATACTAACACACTTTGTAGATATTTTTATTTATACTAAAATATTGGTGTACAAGTGTGTTTTATTTGAAGTAGGGTAACCACACTAAAACAAATTTTTAGAAAGAAAATAATGTTTGAAACATGATTTATATAATTTTTAAAAAAGCTGAGAAGCCTATTTTTTATTAAAATTGGAAATCTTCATCTTTGAATATTCTGCCAGTATTTTTAGAAAATTTTTAATATTTAACTTTATTGATAATATATCAGCATACATTTTAAAATGTATTGCTTTTTGTGGACAGGAACCATACTTAACCATTTTCTAAATATCATGTTTTTGGAAAGCAAAGAATACAAGATTATCTTTATTATGTATTGTTATTAAGAAGAATATACAAGTGGAAAGAAAACACATTAGAAGATATTTTTAAAAAGATCATGTTCCTTTTAAAGAAGAAAAATAATGTAAAAGTCTTCAATACCTCTTTCTGATTTTTTATGATAGAAACCAAAATGTATGAATATCTGGAATGTATTTTAAAATGTATTTTAAAGGTGTTGTTTTCAAGAAAAAATAATGGCATAAAATTTTAAAAGTTGTTAGTTTTTTTTGGAGGACAGGAACCATACTATAAAAATTTTTCAAATTAGTTGTCACACCAGAATAAATTTTTTTTATATCCTGTTTTTAATTTTAAAATTTTTTAATTGTTTTGCGCTGAAAACACAGAAGAATACATTTTTAAATGTGTTTTCTTCAGAGAACAGAAACCAGATTAAAACCCATTTTGTACATTATAAAATCTGGACAGGCACCATACTAGAGTACATTTAAACAGTATTCTTTTTAAAAGGAAAAGGATAATAGATTTTGAGGAAGAAAGAAACCACACTATAATGCTTTTTATATAAGTAGCTTTGAAGGATAAAATACCTGGAAACATTTTTAGATGTGTTTAACACTTTTCCAAAAATATATTTAAATATATTATAGAATATCAGCTTACAACTTAAAATGTTTTTTTTTCTCCTATGGGACAGGTACCACACTAGAAAACTTTCAACATTTTTGATTTTAAAGAAAAATTCTAGAGCGCGCTGGAAAATGTGGTTTATGTGGTTTTGAACAAGAACCACCCTAGATTACTTTTAAAATGTGTCTCTACAAAAATATCTGGAAATATTCTACAATGTATGTTTTTTTGTAAAAAGAACAAGAACAACTCTAGAAAATAATTCAAAAAATATTTTAGTATGGTTCATGTCACACCAGAAAAAATTATAAAAAAAGTATCCTGAAAACAGGTAATTAAATTAAGAAAGATTTTTTTTAAACGGGTATCTGTTCCTTCCGAAAAAACACTTATTGCACTTAAAAAGCTATATTTTTGTAAATTTAAAAAAATAAAATAATTCCAAATGGAACAAATGCCTTTTTTTTGTAGAAATAAAATGTAAATTAATATCTTAAATTTAATATAGACAAGGATTCTGTTTTGAAAGGGGAGCCACACAAGAATACATGTAATTAACACTTTCATATCTCAATAACTTAACCTTTCAAATTCATATAATATTCTCATTTTTGACCTTGACCTTCAGAAAGACATTAGCATAAAAATCTAAGATGTGAAAAACTAA